TCTCTCTCTCTCTCTCTCTCTCTCTCCCCCCCTCTCCCTCCCTCCTCCCTCCTTTCGGTAACCTGTAAAACAAACCATAGGAGTAAAGATCTCCACCTTCCCTTGTGTTTCAGACGACTGGGGTTCCATCTTTGGAGACCCGACAAAGTTTGGCCTTGGCTTCTTCTCCATCCTCTTTGACGTTCTGTTCATGGTGCAGCACTACGGGCTCTACCGTAACCGGGAGCCGTACCAGCAGATCAAGGACTCGGAGGTATCTGTCAGCAAAGATACTCCCAGCTCCCAATACAATAAGTGATTATCTCAGGAGAGAGACAGGCGTACAAATCTGACTCTATGTATTCTTTGATTCCATTCGATGAAAACTTTTCCGTACTTTCTCTTCTAATGCTATGTATAGTGGATTCCTGCTGGAAGCATGTGGCATTGTATTGGCCAGTGCAAGTGTGTCTTGTGTGCAAGCACTTACATACATATAGAGGAGGTTTTGCTGGATAAGACTTTAAAGAACATGCAAGTTTGTCATGATTGGACGAAGACTTCGATGAGTTCCATGTATGTGATCTTTATGGCCTAAGGCATCATGATTCTACTCTAAAAAGCAAGGACAGAACATCAATGAAAATTGACACGTTTACTTCCTGTGCTTTAATTTTTACTTACCCTCCTTCTCAACTCACAGAGTTCATTCAGGGCAGCTGTTAGTCTATGCTTGAAACAAACAACTTGTGGTGCCATCTATTTATTTGTATTATTTTTTTTCCGTTTCTAGCTTTCTTTTCATGAAATGAACTTACGGTCTCATGAGCAATGTAAAACACTCTTTTCGGACCTCATTTCTTTGGGGTTCGTTACTTTATCAACCTCAGACAGACAGGAGAAAAAATGCTCATATTGTACGCCTATCTTTCTCCACATGTTACTTCACCTGTAACAGTAACAGACATTTTCATGTTACCTCATGGCCTTGAACAGATGGGCAAGAATGATTTTAAAATTTGCTTTTAGTTTTAGAGAAAATTCATATTTTTAATAATAAAAAATGAAAGAAATGAACTAAAAATGATGATAAACTAAAGCTTTTTTGTTTCAGTAAGAGTGTTAAGGTACTTGCAGCACAATTTGGTCATATAAGTGCCAAAGATGAGAGGATTTACCGGAGAGTCTAGTAGCAAACACAAAACAGGAGGAGAGATAAGAATGTCAGATGTTTGCTAGTCAGGAAGGAGCAACAGAGCATGGGCGATGCAGTTGTCGTTCTTTGCCTTCAGAAAATAAAAATGAATGTTGTTTTCCTGTCGTGGGAATGAAGATACCTATAGGCCTACTTATTATATTATTTGAGAACTCTACTCACTTTGACTGCCTTCTTACAATTGCATTAGGATAGTATATATATGTTCAGATGATAGTAGTGGTATATATATGTTCAGATGATAGTAGTGGTATATATATGTTCAGATGATAGTAGTGGTATATATATGTTCAGATG